GTCTCCGGCTTGGTGTCGGGACCAATGCTCCCTCTAAGCTGTGTAGTCTGGTGAGCAAAAGTTCTACTTTGTGAGCTACTGGCATTAAAGTGAGCTATTTGGCTACTGCATCAATTAGTTTGCCCTGGAGCCACCCTTCCTGAGCTAAGACAAAAATGTGTGAGCTGGAGGCTAAAAAACTGTGAGCTAGCTCACACTAACTCAGCTTAGAGGGAACACTGGTCAGGACACAATGGAAGGTCCTGAAATTTACCCAGGTTTGACCGGACACCTCTCCCCCCACCCAGCCAGTTTTTATGGGGAAGGAGGTCGGACATCCCGTGACCATCCAGCCCCCCTCACCTCCAGGCCATGTGTCCTCCCAGCCTGGCCAAATCCATCCCTGGGCGCTCAGTCCCTGACCCTGACGGAAGCCAAGGCCCTCCTGCCTCCCCTCCAAGGGGGGATGCCAAAACCCTCTGTCCTGTTCCACCCATTGAAGAGAGGTCACGGGGTGGGAAGGCCCCGAGGAACTAGAATTGAACTGCCTGGCTCATGAGGGGAGAGGTGGGAGACTGCAGCCCTGAAGTCAGCAAATAGAAATGTTTCTTTGCGCCTCCCCCCACCCCCACCCATCCAGACAGTCTCTGCTTCCTCTTCCCCCCAGTCCAAATCACTGGCAAGCAGTGTTCCCTCTCAGCTGTGTTAGTGTGAGCTAGCTCACAGTTTTTTAGCCTCCGGGTCACACATGTTTGTCTTCGCTCAGGAAGGAGGGCTCCAGAGCAAACCAACTTATGCAGCAGCCAAATCGCTCACTCACAACTTTAATGCCAGCAGCTCACAAAGTAGAATTTTTGCTCACAGGACTCCACAGCTTTGAGGGAACATTGGCAAGTCCTCCCCAATGCAGGGAAGGGGCTGGATCTCACCCCTCCCCTCCCCAGCCAGGTGCAAAGATGAGCAGAAGAGGAGGAGCGGCCGAAGGAGAAGAACCCCCCCCCCAGCTCTGCAGTGGGGCGACTCTCCCTCCCTCCCCCGGATCGGGGCCTGCCCCTGGCCTCTCTACTTCCCCTCCCTACCACCCCCGGATGTCCCAGCCTCGCCTCCCACCGACCAGCCCCAGGATTCCCCCTTGGCTCACGGGGGAGGAGGGCGGAGGAGCTGATGCCGCTTTGCACGCAGGAGAGCCGGAAAGGCCGATCCCCCCCCCCTCCTCCCCCTTGCATATTCCAGGCCAGGAAGAAAGTGACCACTCCACCCCGCTTTCCTGGCGGCCTCTCTGGGGTTTTGGCCTCGCTGGCAGCCAGGAGGGGAACTTGTCCGTCGAAGTCTGCCTCTCCCCCCCCCCCCCCGGGGTGTGTGTGCTAAAAACAGTTCACATCCAGCGGCAGGCATGAACGGGGTCCAGCGAGCAGGCAGTCAGTCCCCACCGCGGTCTGGGTTACAGCGGCTGTTGATGTTGATACAGATGTTCCTATCGGGGCCGGGGCCTTGGTCGTATAATGCTTCCTAGCCACACCCCTGCCCCGGGATCTACTAAAAGGAAGGACAGGATTGCCCATTGGAAACAATGGGAGACGCTGGAAGACCCATTGGAAACAATGGGAGCCAGGAATGCCAATTGACTTGCATGGGCTCCATTGGAAATCATTACAGCACAAGTAGAGTTGCAATAAAAATGCGGAAGTACATCCCCTCTGCCCCGTCTAATTTTTTTTTTTTTTTTTTACAAAAACAACCGATAGCAGACATCAACACTGCATTGCGCCTAGATGGCATCTCCTGTTGTCTCACATTCGCATTTACGTCTCGCGGATGTGCAAAATAATCTTAAGAGAGCAGAAGAACAGACTCAAACGCAATCCAGAATTCAGTCACACCCGAGACAGTGTTCCCTCGAAGCTGAGTGAGTGTGAGCTAGCTCACGGTTTTTTAGCCTCCAGCTCACAGATTTTTGTCTTAGCTCAGGAAGGGACGGCTCCAGAGCAAGCTAATTTATGCGGTATCCAAATCACTCGCTCCCTACTTTAATGCCAGCAGCTCACAAAGTAGAATATTTGCTCACAAGACTCCGCAGCTTAGAGGGAACATTGCACCCGACCGAAACCAGAGTTCGAACCTGCTGCTCGCCCTCCGCCCTCGTCTTCTGAACTCATTTTGCAACCTGGCATTCCCTCTCCACGCCCCCTGCCCCCCCCCCCACGTCCCTTCCTCTACCCCTGCATACACCCACACACACACCCATGCACTTTTAGTTCATCCGATCCTGCTCTTCGGGGCTGATGCAGGCACCCACTTTTGGGGGGCGGAGAGAGAGAGAGAGCGAGAGAGAGAGGATCCTGCGGGAAGTGACGCGCTGCCGCCGTCTCCCTTCTCTCTAGGAGCGCAGACTCGCCCCCCTTAACCCTCTGCAAGAAGCCAAGCGGGCGGGCCGGGGACAACACCTTCGGGGATGACATCCGTCTCCACAATCCAACGCTAACTCTGCAGATTTCCCATTTCCAGAAGCTGGACTTGGATTCTCGGTGCAAAGTCAAGGAGGTATAAAAATGCATACGGGGAGGGACGGGTTGAAGAAGGAAGTAGGGGGGGGGGGAGGGAACTGCTGGCGGCGACCCAGAGGGGCTTGGCCGAAGACAGAGGACCAATGCTCCCTCTAAGCTGTGGAGTCTTGTGAGCAAAAATCCTACTTTGTGAGCTATCGGCATTAAAGTTGTGGGCGAGCCATTTGGCTGCTGCATAAATTAGTTGGCTCTGGAGCCATCCCTTCCTGAGCTAAGACAAAAATGTGTGAGCCAGAGGCTAAAAAACTGTGAGCTAGCTCACACTCACTCAGCTTAGAGAGAACACTGCAGAGGACTCCCGAGCTTCTTGCAATGGGATGGCGTGGGGGGGGGGAGGCCGGGGAAAGGCAGCCGCCGGCCCAGGAGAGGAAGCGAGAGTCCCCCCCCTCCCCTTTTCAGGGCCCTGCATCCCGGAGAGCTGTGTGACTGGTCCAAAATCACCCAGTGAGCTTCCGCAGCAGATGGGGATTCGAACCTGGGTCCCCCAGGGGACTCTTCTGAAGCTCTAGCCGCAGCACCACACTGGCTTCCGTTGGTTGGCTGTTGTTGAAGGGTAGCAAGCAGCCAGGCCTTGTTGAGTCTTGCAAGTCAAGGGGTATCAAGTCACCCAGTGGTTGCTTCCAGGACTAGGGTAGCCAACATCCAGGTATGAGCTGGAGGTCTCCCAGAATTAAATTAATGTAATTATAGTGTATGTGATTAAAGACATTGAATTTAATTTAAAAACACTGTTGCTGTGCAGGCCGCCTGCATTTTTCTGCCCCTTCTCCTCAGCCAGGTGCCCGGACAGAGCTCTTGCCTAACACTTCAGGGCTTCGGGTAAAGGGGTCGCCAGCAATGCTCCCTGTAAGCTGTGGAGTCTTTATGAGCAAAAATTCTACTTTGTGAGCTACAAGCATTAACATTTTGAGTGAGCGATTTGGCTACTGCATAAATTCGTTTGCTCTGGAGCCCTCCTTCCTGAGCGAAGACAAAAATGTGTGAGCCGGAGGCTAAAAAACTAAGCTAGCTCGCACTAACTCAGCTTAGAGGGAACACTGGTCACCAGTCTCTCTTGTCCTTTTTGGGTTTATTTTAGGAATTAGCCCTTAGGACAGGCTGAGCCAATGCGATGAGAGGCTAAGCTTGTTAATAAAAAGCCAAACAGAAACATTTAACTTTCCCAATGAACCATGGAGGCATATCTCAAATACCTTGGTTTGTAATATAGAAAAATGATCTTAAATGTGGTCTACAAACCACAAGATGCCCTTTTGTTCTGATCCACCAGGGCAATTCTCATGTGTCTCCTGGGCATACGAAGATTTGGGATATGTATCCCCATTCTCTTTTACTTTCCATGTGTCTTCCCTTCCTCCCAGAGAGAAGCCAAGTGACAAAAGGCATCTTTACACAATCAGAGGTGACTCAAGAGAAGGGGAAAGAGATGGAAGAGGAGAACCCAGAAGGACCTGGAACTGGCAAGACAGCAAAGAAAGGCCCCCATCCCACCCAAGCTGGGAGTGGTGCTGAATTCTGGGAGAGCCCGGCGCCAGATATCCATTGTCAGCTCACTGCAATCTCAGATGCACACTGCCGACGCTTCCGGCAATTCTGCTACCATGATGCCAGTGGGCCCCGAGAGGTTTGCAGCCAGCTCCATGGACTTTGCAGCCAGTGGCTAAAGCCGGAGAGGCACTCCAAGAAGCAGATCCTGGACCTGGTGATCCTGGAGCAGTTCCTGACTATCCTGCCCCAGGAAATGCAGTGCTGGGTCAGAGGATGCAGGCCGGAGACCAACTCCCAGGTGGTGGCCCTGGCCGAAGGTTTCCTCCTGAGTCAGGCAGAGGAGAAGAGGCAGGTAGAACAGGTGAGGGGCTTCCCCCAAGATATGTGCAATTCAAGCAACGATATCTGGCCTTATCTCTGTGCCGGATTTATGCATAAGCTAAATAAGCTACAGCTTAGGGCCTCGCAATCTGCTGGGGCCTCGAATAAAAACACAATATAAAAAATGATTTCAAATATTAAAAAGGCGTATATATTTTAAATTTTTCTGAGACCAGCTGATGCAATTTAAAACAGTAGGGGGCCTCTGGGTTTTGTACAGCTTAGGGCCTCAGCAAGTCTAAATCTGGCCCTGCCTTATCTGAAAGGTTTCCTGCCAGACATCTGCCCAAGTGTTACTCATCCAAATGGGAAATTTAACAGCCTTCTTAAGCAGCCACTACGACTAGGGAATTTCTTATCCGAACCAATGTAATGAGAGACTAAGCTGGTTAACATCCTTAAAGAGCCAAACAGAGGCACTCAACTTTCCCAAGAACCATGGAAGCACATCTCAAATAGCTTGGTGTAGAGAGCCAGGTTGGTGTAGTGGTTAAGTGCGCGGACTCTAATCTGGGAGAACTGGGTTTGATTCCCCACTCCTCCACTCGCACCTGGCTGGATGACCTTGGGCAAGCCATAGTTCTGGCACAGCTGTCCTTGAAAAAAGAGCAGTTTTCTGTCAAGAGCTCTCTCAGCCCCACCTACCTCACAGGGTGTCTTTTGTGGGGAGGGGAAGGGAAAGGAGTTTGTAGGCCGCTCTGAGACACCTTTGGGTAGTGAAGGGCGGGGTATAAATCCAATCTCTTCTCGTCTTCTTCTTCTTGCATTGTAATACAGAAAAATAATATTAAACCTGGTCTACAAACCACAAGATGATCTTTTGCTCTCGCCCTGCCCTGGATAGTCCAGGCAAGCCCGATCTCATCAGACCTTGGAAGCTAAGCAGGATCGACTCTGGCAAGTACTTGGAAGGGAGATCTCCAAGGAATACCAGGGCAGGCTGCAGAGGCAGGCAGTATCTATCTGTCAGGGAAGTTATTGTTAAGGGAAACTGGGTCCTATTCTCTCTTAGCCATTTTTTTAAAATAAGCTCTGTCTCTGGCCTCCGTTCTATGGTCCTCTGGCTTTGTATCCCATAAGGCTTTGCATCGTGTCTAGCTAAGTGCTGCATTGGATTCACTATGTCCTAGAACACCGTTTATATTTTTCTGAGTTCATGATATTAGTCTTTAAGCCTAAACATAGTTTACCCAGCTCCTGAGTTATCCTTGACATAGTATATGTCTAGAGCCGCACCGACCCACTGATAGCATACAGATTGTCATTTAGAGAAGCACCATAGTAGCCTGGGGCTTCTTGCCCTTACAGCTATTACATCATATAACAGGCAGAGTTCATATTTGCTGTATATGAGGGGTTGGATTTGGTCAAGTACGTCAGATGTCCGTCACAGGTCTAATTGACAGCCACATTAGCTTCAATAGATGGCAAAATGTATTTAACATTTGGATTTTCTTTTTTAGTCACTGTTATTCTGGGCCAAACACCCTCCATTCAGGTCTAGACAGAATAACCAGGATATAAACTCTATAGAACTACAGTGAACTCTATTTAGGTATCTAATTAATCTGATTAATTCTGTATACTGCATACTAGAATGTTATGTTTGAAAATTTCTGCATTCTGGTTTTGTCCTTCAATAAATAATAGATACTTTGGAACAGCTCTCTCTCTCTCCCCCCCTTTCTCCCTCCCTCTCCCTCTCCCCCTTTCTCTCCCTCCCTCTCCCTCTCCCCCTTTCTCTCCCTCCCTCTCTCTCTCCCCCTCTCTCCCTCTCCCCTCTCTCCCTCCCCTTTTCTCCTTCCCTCTCCCTCTCTCCCTCCCTCTCCCCCTCCCTCTGAATCTATGGGGTCCCTGCCAGCGTCATCCCCTTCCCTTATCAAGCTGGGTGAAGAAGGCCGTCCCGCACTCCTATATTCCCCAACACTAGCCACCTCTCTGATACGTCTTAGCCTCAGCAGGGGTCACCAGAAGTCACCATGACTTCCAGGCACACACGCACACGTACACACACACAAAATACTTTTGTTCTGACCCACCAGGACAATTCTTGTGTGTCTCCTGAGCTCATGAAGGTTTGTGATGTTCACTGGTGTATCTCCATTCTCTTTGATTTTCCGTGTTACTGCCTGTGTCTCTCCTTCCCCCCAGAGGGAAGCCCCTCATAGCCAAGTGACTAAAGACATCTTTCCACAGTCAGAGGTGACCGAAGGGAAGGGGAAAGAGATGGAAGAGGAGAACCCAGAAGGACCAGGAACTGGCAAGGCAGCAAGCAACTGGCAAGACAGCCCCCATGCCACCCAAGCTGGGAGTGGTGTTGAGTTCTGGGAAAGACCGGTGCCAGATATCCATTATCAGCTCACTGCAATCTCAGACTCACATTGCAGACGCTTCCGTCAGTTCCGCTACCATGAGGCGAATGGGCCCCGAGAGGTTTGCAGCCGGCTCCATGGACTTTGCAACCACTGGCTGAAGCCGGAGAGGTTCACCAAGAAGCAGATGCTGGACCTGGTGATCCTGGAGCAGTTCCTGGCTGTCCTGCCCCAGGAAATGCAATGCTGGGTCAGAGGATGTGGGCCGGAGACCAGTTCCCAGGTGGTGGCCCTGGCCGAAGGTTTCCTCCTGAGTCAGGCAGAGGAGAAGAGGCAGGCAGAACAGGTGAGGGGATTCCCTCCAGGTATGTCCAATTCAAGTAGGGATATCTGGCCTTATCCTAAAGATTCCCTGATGACATCTGTCCAAGTGTTACTCATTCAAACAGGAGATTTCACGGCCTCCTTCAGCAGCCTCTTCTACTAGAGAATTTCTTATCCCTCCAGATAACTCACCAGGTCTGCTGATGGAAGGGTGCAGAGTCTGGGAGTGGGCCAGGATCCATTCCTTGGTCTCTTTTCCATTCAGTCTCTTACCCAGTCTCCCTGCTGTTTCAGATGTGGACACCATCCGTGAAGACGGAAGCGACATTCCCAGAGGCGGGAGGAGCTTCCTTGGAGCAAGGGCAGAGGGCGCAGGCCCAGGAGTGTGCCCAAGATGCCCTCTCCTGTGGTAAGGACTTATCATGCCTGAATGCAACTGGGGCACGCTTTGAATCTGATGGGTAGAGAGTTCAGGTCAGGGAAAAAATTAGAGACTTCTTCACACAACACAGAGTTAATTTGTCCACTAACTGATGCCTCTGAAAGGAGTCCAGTCAACGTCCATTAACTGATGCCTCTAAATGGCAATTCCTTCCATTAATTTTAAATATTGACCGCTCACCTTCTTTCCATGATTTCCGCAGGGCCTGCAAAAGGGAGATGTTCCTCCAGGCCTGTGGTTGAGGTGGTGGAGATATAGTTACCATGGTGGCTCTTTTTGTAGCAGGAACTCCTTTGCATATTAGGCCACACCCCCTAATGTAGCCAATCCTCCAAGAGCTTACAGAGCTCTTCTTACAGGAGCTACTGTAAGCTCTTGGAGGATTGGCTACATTAGGGGTGTGTCGCTTAATATGCAAATGAGTACCTGCTACAAAAAGAGCTCATATGCAATCTATACTGTCTTTTGTCTGCCCCCTTCAGCACAAATTACCATCTGTCTGCACACGTGTGGGGAGCTTATGCAGGAGTGATTGGGCAATGCCATCAACTGCTGTTATAGTTTGTTTATTGATGTTACCGGTGAGATTGTTATTTATTGAGGTTATATTACTGTTGCTTCACGCCCGTTTGTGAAGTTTTGTAAGTTGAATTGGATATCTCTGTTTTGTCATATTCCACCCTCAGCCTGCTTTCGGGGGAGGATGGGCTAGATGCCTAATAATAAATAATAAATTAAATAAGAGGAACAGAAGGAGGTGAATCCAAAATTTTGGGAAGACCTGCAGGAGGAAGGAATATCAAGAGTGAAGGATATGTATAATAGCCAAGGGAATTTATTAACACTTCAGGAGTTGAATCAAAAAACTAGGAAACAGATATTGGTTAAATTTAATGGGATTGTATGTTTTAATTAAACAAGATAAGTATAAAGAAGCTATTAAAAGGGAAGACAATAATATAGAACAAATATTATATGTGAAAGAAATAAAAACAGGTTTGGCAGGGAAGGTTTATTTAGAACTGGTAAAAGATACGGAATTTATGTTTAGAAGTTTCAAAAAGAAATGGAATAAAGAAAAACAATTTACTACCGAGGATGTTAAGAAGTTAATGGTGAACTTGAAGAAAATTAAGCTAGAAAAGTATAGAGAACTCGAAAGGAAGATAATCTTGAAGTGGTATAGAACCCCTGCCCAACTGGCATATAATAAAAGGATGAAACCTAATTGCTGGCACTGTAACGCAAAAGAAGGGTGGTACTCTCACTTATGGTGGGAATGCCCAAAGGTGACAGACTTTTGGGAAAAGATACAGGGGGAAATAGCAGAGTTATGTAAAATTAACTTGGATATAGACGTCGATTTATTATTTATGGGTGTATTGGGAAACTATAGAATTGAGAAACAAAATCAGGATATTTTTAAAGCATTGATATTAGCAGCGCATGCAGTGATTGCATACGGTTGGAAGGAGAACTCAAAATGGACTCTAGAAAAATGGAATGAATATCTATACAAATATATACAGTCAGACATATTGGAATGTTTAAAGCAAGATAAGCTGTGGACTGCAAAAAGGAAGGAGATAAAAAAGAAATGGATGGTATACTTTAAATGGGTTTATAAAGGGAAAGCCAACATGGGTATATTTGGAAAGTTGGAAAGAATGTGCTCATGGTTGAAAATGTAAATCGAAAATATGATGTTGGCCACCTTAGGGGGGGAGGGGGAAAATAGGGGTAAAAGAAGTATCAAAACATTTTGGAATTAAATTGTAATGTAATAACAATATTGTGATCAGTGTTCCCTCTAAGCTGAGTTAGTGTGAGCTAGATGACAGTTTTTTAGCCTCCAGCTCACACTTTTTTGTCTTAGCTCAGGAAGGATGGCTCCAGAGCCCAACTAATTTATGCAGTAGCCACCAATGTTCCCTCTAAGCTGTGGAGTCTTGTGAGCGAAAATCCTACTTTGTGAGCTACAGGCATTAAAGTTGTGAGCGAGCCATTTGGCTGCTGCATAAATGAGTTTGCTTTGAGGCCATCCTTCCTGAGCTAGAGCAAAAATTTGTGAGCTGGAGGCTAAAAAACTGTGAGCTAGCTCACACCAACTCAGCTTAGAGGGAACACTGGTAGCCACATTGCTCGCTCACAACTTTAATGCCAGCAGCTCACAAAGTAGATTTTTTGCTCACAAGACTCTACAACTTAGAGGGACCATTGATTGTGATACAATAAAAACACATTAACAAAATTAAATAAGAGGAACTCAAGGTGGCTCAAAAGAGGAAAGGTAGACAAACCTGGGCAGAGCTATTCTGCCTAGTGAATCAAGGGAGCCTACACCTTCTGGGGCAGCAGAGCTCTGAGAACCAGTTCCGAGGGCCCAATAATCATGGGAAGATCTGGCTTCTGTGCCCGTGCTTGTAAGGGACATCTGGTGGGCCGCTTTGGGAAATACACTGCTGGAGTAGGGATGGCAAGGCTATGGCCCGGCACCTCCAGGAGCTTTGGGGAAGGGCTTTGGGAGGGACTTGCGGCACATGTGGTGTCATGTTGACATTGCTCTTTGCTGAAAACCTGGTTGTGACGTTAGCACGCCAAGAGACACTCTGAAAACTCATTCACAGTACCCTTGAGTCTTCAGATGCGCTCCTGTCACATCTGTGTCGAATGTGATGGCGACGGGTCATGCGGCGACGTCATTTCCACCCCTCTCTTGCCCTCCCCCCAGCCCAGACGCAGGTCTCAAAGAAGTCTGAAATGCGTTGGCAGCATTTATAGTCCCCGAGGCTCATAGGTACCTGGTGCTTCTCTGCTGCCTCTCTCGGAATTTAATTTAAAATGTTTAAAAATGTGTTGAGTGTACACCGGGCAAGGTTTCACAACCCTGAGAAGGGTGTGTGTGTGCGTGAAGCAGGGAACAAGCAAGGAAACACCCTTCCTTCCTCCTTTGTCTCAGGAACAAGCAGTGAAGAGATGCTGTTGAGCCGTCATCTTTTCAGAGGTGTGGAAACGGCTGATGGACCTCCAGTCCAGGTAGGGAAGATGAGCAGGGGACAGCCTGGGTCCCTTCTGCTTTCCCACCGGGGCTTTTGCTCCTGTAGTTTCTACAGGGTGCCTGCCTGAGAGACCCTCTGAATGCTGTTCTTTCCCCCCATACGAAGCCTTCCATCCTGTACCTTCCCAGACTTCTCCCTTCCAGTCTGCAATCTCTGCCTGGCATGATCTCTGACGAGGGAATCTGCCTTTTCTTCCAGTGTCCCTTTTCCTTGGAGGAGGTGTCCGTCTATTTCACTGAGGAGGAATGGGCCCTGCTGGATCCGGGACAAAGAGCTCTGTACAGGGAAGTCATGCTGGAGAACTATGGGAATGTGGCCTTCCTGGGTAAGGATCTTTCATAGGTGCCAGAGGTGCAAATTGCTGGCATTGTGACAGGGCTGTAGCCAGCCATGGGGGCTCACGTGGTGGCACCCCCTATTGATTTTTCAGCGCCCCACCACTCCAATCTTCCCCTTTAATTCCTAATTCAGCATTAGCCAAGCCACGCTAGCCTGAAGCATGCACGACTCACTCAAGGCCGGAGCCTTGATTCACCCCCAACTCACCCAGGGCCGGGAGGGGGAGGAAGCCTGGGCTAAAATGGCCTCTGAAGTCAGGAGACCGCCCCTCCCCCATAAAGGGCTGTTTTCCTGGCATGCTTGGGGTTCTGCATATATGAATGGGAGAACCTGTCGAAGGGAGCTTTGACTCTTGGATGCTTATGCCCTGGAAACCTTGTTAGTCTCAAAGGTGGTACTGGACTCAAAATAAATCATGGGTTATTTAGGGTTGCCAAGCTGCTGGGGGGGGCACCCGGCAACCTCCCAGAATTTCAATAGATCCTGTTTTCATTACCGCTCAATCATCTTCCTCCCCCATACCCCTTCCATGTGCATCCGCCCTGTATATAAACCCCGCCAGGGAGCAAGCAATCGGGACAGAATTTTTTGCGAACCTCCAGAAGGAAGAGAAGGAAACAGGTTATTATTCCCACCCAGGATTCACCCAAACAGGCACTCCAGCAAGATGATCCGCGCAGCATGGTACCAAAGTCCTCGTGCCACTCTGCATGCCTTGGATGCCACACACCCCTTTTCTCACCTGGCCACCTCCCGGACTGGCCATGCCAAGGCTCCTCAAGAGTTAAACAGAGACGCTTTAAAAAAATATATATTTTCTCAAATAAAAGTGAGCTACAAACTGGAGCTGCAGTGGCTCAAGTGGTTAAGACGCTGAACTGCAGGCTGTGGAAGGTCAGTAGTTCAGCAGTTCAAGACCCAGGTGCCGCAAGACAGGGTGAGCTCCTGTCTCTAGTTCCAGCTCCTGCCAACCTAGCAGTTCGAAAGCAAGAAATTGCTAGTAGATAAAAAGGTACCACTTCGGTAGGACGGTAACAGCGTTCCGTGCGCCTTGGTGTTTAGTCATGCCGGCCACATGACCACGGAAACGTCTTCGGACAGCGCTGGCTCTTCGGCTTTGAAACGGAGATGAGCACCGCAACCCTAGAGTCGGATTCGACTGGCTTTCGAGCAAGGGAACCTTTACCTTTACTTACAAATGGGAAGGGGGTTAGGGGAAAATATAGATTCATCAGATTTATCAAATATTGTGGGTTGTTGCATACAACAAGTTAAATCAGGTGTATTAGTAAGAATACGTATTTCAAATATAGAAGCAGACCATAAAACTTCAATATTACAGTGTTTGGGGATGGTTTCTCTTTTTAAAAGAATAAACAAGAACTTTCCGAATGTTAGCGATAATCTGTTCCTGCACTTCTTTTTCTACGAAATGACCCGTTTCAAATACAGAAGCAGGCATTAAAACATCGATATTACAGAATTGGGGGATAAATTCTCTCTTTTTAAAAGAATAAACAAGAACTTTCCGAATGTTAGCGATAATCTGTTCACAATAAGAGAGATTACATTTTTGACAGTTTATACCTGCATTATACTTTCTGCCTTTCTAAGGTGAAGTGGTCCGAAAGACCCAATCAAGGGTCTTCCTTGAGGGAGTTTTCCGGAGGCTGTCAGCACCCTCCTAATCCCCCCTCCCTCCTAGTTAAAGGTAAAGGTTCCCTTGCACGAAAGCCAGTCAAATCCGACTCTAGGGTTGCGGTGCTCATCTCCATTTCAAAGCCGAAGAGCCAGCGCTGTCCGAAGACATTTCCGTGGTCATGTGGCCTGCATGACTAAACACCAAGGCGCAAGGAACGCTGTTACTTTCCCACCAAAGTGGTTACACAACTGGATAAAGGTTCTCACGATTAACCAATGACCACAGACTGGAGTCTGGTCTTGAAAAAGGATGTTAGCTGCAGGGAGACTTGAATCATGAACAGCTGCAAGTTGGCCCAGACCACTTAATAATCATGTTAGCCCTTGGGGGAACTAGGGTGCTTTGTCGCACAGATCCATTCCCCTTCTACTGGTTGGGATTGTGGGCTTTGATCTTGACCATGGTTCCATTCTTCCAAAAAATGTTTACTCTTGAATCTCTTTCCTTCTCCATATAAGAATTCTCTCTCTCTCTCTCTCTCTCTCTCTGCCAAAGAAGCCAGTAATATAAGAGAGACTTTGGTGGAGACGGACAAGAGGCTTGTATCCAAAGAAAGGCTGGAGAACTCCTCAAGAGGATCCCAAGAGCATATTTCCTTCACAGAAGAGGTGCCTGCGAGTGAGTATCCTTCATGGCTATATCAAGGGAACAGGCAAGGAATAGCCATGGGGGGTGTTTCTGATTCACTTGTGAGCAACATTTGGTTTGGTACAATCATACAGCCTTCTGGAGGCCTAGAATCATAGAGTTGGAAGGGACCTCCAGGATCCTCTCGTCCAACCCCCTGCACAGTGCAGGCAATTCACCGATACATCCCTCCCCCCACAACCCCAGTGACCTTTGCTCCATGCCCAAAAGGTGACAAAAAACTCCCTCCAGGAACCCTGGCCAAACTGACCTGGAGAAAAATTACTTCCTGCCCCCGAAGTGGGGATCAGCATTTCCCTGAGCACGTAAGAAAGGGCCACGAGAACTAAGCACTTCTGACCCTCCCTTCTCGTGATCTCCCTGAGTTCACAGAATCAACACTGCCATCAGAAAGCCATCTAGCCTCTGTTTAGAAGTCTCCCAAGAAGGAGAGGTCACCACCAATGTTCCCTCTAAGCTATGGAGTCTTGTGAGCAAATATTCTACTTTGTGAGCTACTGGCATTAAAGTTGCGAGCAAGCAATTCGGCTGCTGCATAAATTAGTTTGCTCTGGGGCCCTCCTTCCTGAGCGAAGAGAAAAATCTGCGAGCCGGAGGCTAAAAAACTGTGAGCTAGCTCACACTAACTCAGCTTAGAGGGAACACTGGTCACCACCTCCTTAGGAAGCCTGTTCCACTGAGGAACTGCTCTGCCAGAAAGTTCTTCCTGACGTTTAGCGGAAAACTCTTTTGATTTAATTTCAACCCATTGGTTCTGGTCCGAGCTTCTGGGGCAACAGAAAACAACTCTGTACCATCATCTAGATGACAGCCCCTCAGGTACTTGAAGATGGTTATCATGTCACCTCTTAGTTGTCGCTTCTCCAGGCTAAATCTGGAAGCTCAGAAACTCCTTCTGGGCAAGAGCTCAGCTGTGGGGGTGAGGTATCCTTAAATACTGGATATTCTGGAGAAATGTGGAGGGGTGGTTAAGATCAGCCAGGCTGGACGAGAACAAACAGCCATGAATCCTTTCCTATGGCAGTCACATAGATGTCTTTGGACCTTACCAGCCCTCCCTGGTGGTAACAGGTTCTCTCTCTTTATTCCAGCAGAGGATGATCAGAGGAATGAGGTGGGTGAAGACCTTCATCAGCAAATGCCAGATAAAGTTAAAAATGAAGACCTAACAGAAAATGTCAGGAATCAAGGCCAGCCTAAGAGAAAGAAAGGTGGCCATGTGGTTGAGAAGCAAGGTGGAAGAAAGCGTAATGTACTTTTTCCAAAGCAAATGATAGCGAAGGCAAGTAAATCCATTCAGCACGGAAAGTACTTCAGAAATAGATCGCAGCTCCGTGTGCACCGAAGTATACACAGAGGGGAGAAACCTTTTGAGTACTCGGAGTATGAAAAGAAATTCAGTCAGAGTTACAGTCTTCAGGAGCACCAAAAAACCAACACAGGGGAGAAACTGTTTGGATGCTCAGTATGTGGGAAGAGATTCAGTAGGAGTGGCACTCTTCAACTGCACCAAAGAAGCCACACAGGGGAGAAACCTTTTGAATGCTCAGAGTGTGGAAAGAGATTCAGTAGGAGTGGCACTCTTCAACTGCACCAAAGAAGCCACACAGGGGAGAAACCTTTTGAATGCTCAGAGTGTGGAAAGAGATTCAGTAGGAGTGGCACTCTTCAACTGCACCAAAGAAGCCACACAGGGGAGAAACCTTTTGAATGCTCAGAGTGTGGAAAGAGATTCAGTAGGAGTGGCACTCTTCAACTGCACCAAAGAAGCCACACAGGGGAGAAACCTTTTGAATGCTCAGAGTGTGGAAAGAGATTCAGTCACACTGGCCATCTTGAACTGCATCATAGAAACCACACAGCAGAGAAACCCTTTGACTGTTCAGTGTGTGGAAAGAAATTTAGTCACAGTGGCACTCTTCAGCTGCACCAAAGAACCCACACAGGGGAGAAACCTTTTGAATGTTCAGAGTGTGGAGAGAAATTCAGTAGGAGTGGCCATCTTCATCAGCATCGGAGAACTCACACAGCTGAGAAACCCTTTGAATGTTCAGTGTGTGGAAAGAGATTCAGTCAGAGTGGCAATCTTCAAGTGCACCGAAGAACCCACACAGGGGAAAAACCTTTTGAATGTTCAGTGTGTGGAAAGAGATTCATTGTGAGGGGGAATCTTCAACGGCATCAGAGAACCCACACAACAGAGAAACCATTTGAATGCTCAGAGTGTGGAAAGAAATTCAGTCAGAGTTTCAATCTTCAGCAGCACCAAATAACCCACACAGGGGAGAAACCTTTCGAATGCTCTGAGTGTGGAAAGAGATTCAGTCATAGTGGCAAACTTCAATTGCACCAAAGAACCCACACAGGGGAGAAACCTTTTGAATGCTCAGAGTGTGGAAAGAGATTCAGTCGGAGTGGCCATCTTCAACAGCACCAAAGAACCCACACAGGGGAGAAACCTTTTGAATGCTCAGAGTGTGGAAAGAAATTCAATAGGAGTGGCAATCTTCAACAGCATCAGAGAACCCACACAGGGGAGAAACCCTTTGAGTGTTCAGAGTGTGGAAAGAAATTCAGTCAGAGTGTCAAACTTCAACTGCATCAAAGAACCCACACAGGGGAGAAACCTTTTGAATGCTTGGAGTGTGGAAAGAGATTCAGTCAGAATGGTCATCTTCAGCTGCATCAGAGAACCCACACAGGGGAAAAACCTTTTGAATGTTCAGAGTGTGGAAAGAGCTTCAGTCAGAGTGGTCATCTTCAACTGCATCAGAGAACCCACACAGGGGAAAACAGGGGAAAGCGGACGGCGCAGGCGCAGCGGAGCCGGAAGGACAGAGCTGCAGCCGCGCCAGAACGCGTCGCACGTCGGAGGGGCCCAGCTGACCCACCGCAGGAGTGACCGTCGAAATGGAGCCAGAAGACAGCCAAGAGACATCGAGCCGAGGAACGCCGACCCGAAGACCGTCCGGTACCTCCACTGGGTGCTGATAGGGACTGCCCCCCACCCTGTGTTCTGTGGCCATAGATTAGGTATGAGATTCAAAATGTAAGCCACTCAGAGACCCCTTAGCGGGGGTTCGAGCGGGGTAATAAATCGAACGATAAATAAATAAATAAATTTTGAATGATCAGATTGTGGGAAGAGATCACTGACAACCCACACATGGAAGAAACGTTTTGAGTGCTCATAGTTTGGAAAGGAATTGAGTAACTGTAGCAGTCTTCAGCGGCATTAGAGAACCTTTTGAATGCTCTGACTGCGGAGTTTCACTCAGCATGGAAATCTTCTACAGTACCTAAGAACCCACACAGAGAGAAACTGTATAACTGCTTAGCCCCTGAAAAGAGGTTTTCTCTTATTTCATACCTGAAAGACAACCACAGACCATATAAAGCACTGAAATTATATAATCTCTCTTAGAAAGCTTGAATCTACACAGATCCGACGTCCGCCCACACCCCGCATTTTTCGGAAAATAATGCACTTTCCCTGGTATATTTTAACTCCGCTTCCTTGGCCGGGCGATACGGGTTGTTTACGAGTGCTAGACAGTTGCCAGATGTTTTAGTGTGATCGCGCCTTTAAAATCCACCCAGCATCTGTCCCTATCGCATGGCTAATTCTGCGTGTGACCGGGACCTAACTCTTTCTGTCATCTACAAAACTGACAAACATTTCATTTCCCAAATCCTGTGAGGAAATAGATGAGCTGAGGGTAACAGGTATCTATGGAGCTGTGGTGGCTCAAGTGGTTAAGACGCTGAACTGCAGGCTGTAGAAGGTCAGTAGTTCAGCAGTTAAAGACCCGGTGCCACAAGACGGGGTGAGCTCCTGTCTCTAGTTCCAGCTCCTGCCAACCTAGCAGTTCGAAAGCAAGAAATTGCAAGTAGATAAATAGGTACCACTTCGGTGGGAAGGTAACAGCGTTCCGTGCGCCTTGGTGTTTAGTCATGCCGGCCACATGACCACGGAAACGTCTTCGGACAGCGCTGGCTCTTCGGCTTTGAATCGGAGATGAGCACCGCAACCCTAGAGTCGGATTCGACTGGCTTTCGAGCAAGGGAACCTTTACCTTTACCTTTTAACAGATATCTACACCCTCTCCGCTCCTGATGTAAACATAGTGTGACCAGCTGGCATCCTTAATTCACAAACATTTTTTATCTGACAAGCAGTTCTAGAGAGGCATTACACAACCCTAATCCCTCCCTAGTCCAGCCTGCTGTGAGCTTTTCTGGGTGTCACCACCTTGAAGCCCAAAGAGTTCTGGCCATAGGATTTATTTGGGTTGAAAGGAAAAGCTTGTGTCCCCCACCCCAACAACTCAGTAAGTTTTAAGGGGGTCAGACCCTCCCCAATATCATCCAGTATTGTGGAAATGGACTGGTCTTCGTGGAGTTGGCAGGTGAACCTTATGGGACACACATTCCCCAATCCCAATTGTCCTCCTCATCAGTGTTCCCTCTAAACTGTGGAGTGTTGTGGGCAAAAATTCTTTTTCATGAGCCAAAAGCGCTGGGCCATGAGCGAAAAGTGCTCCGGTCCACTATGAGGGTAGACCTGGCCTCCAGAGACCAAGTCTACCCACCCTTGTATTCTGTGGGGGTAGACCTAGCCACCAGAGACCAGGTCTTCCCACCCTTGTATCCTATGAAGGTAGATCTGGCCACCAGAGAACAGGTCTCCCTGTCCATTTCCACTATATTGGTAGACCTGGCCTCTGGAGAACAGGTCTACCCATCCCTTTCCACTATATTGGTAGATCTTTCCTCCCGAGAACAGGTCTACCCATCCTTTTCCACTACATTGGTAGACCTGCCCTCCAGAGAAGAAGAGGAGATTGGATTTATACCCTGCCCTTCACTACCCAAAGGTGTCTCAGAGTGGCTTACAAACTCCTTTCTCTTCCCCTCCCCACAACAGACACCCTGTGAGGTAGGTGGGGCTGAGAGAGCTCTGACAGTAACTGCTCTTTTTCAAGAACAGCTCTTATCAGTGCTATGGCTTCCCCAAGGTCATCCAGCCAGGTGCAAGTGGAGGAGTGGGGAATCAAACCTGGTTCTCCCAGATTAGAGTCCACGCACTTAACCACTACACCAAACTAGGTCTACCCATCCCTTTCCACTATATTAGTATACCTGTTGTACAGGTCTGCCTGTCACTTTCCACTATATTGGTAGACCTAGCCTCTGACCTAGCTAGTTTGGTGTAGCGGTTAAGTGCGCGGACTCTAATCTGGGAGAACCGGGTTTGATTCCCCACTTCTCCACTTGCAGCTGCTGGATGACCTTGGCCAAGCCACAGTTCTGTCAGAGGTGTTCTTGAAAAAGAGCAGTTTCTGTCAGAGCTCAGCCCCACCTACCTCACAGGGTGTCTGTTGTGGGGAGGGGAAGGAGTTTGTAAGCCACTCTGAGACTCCAAGTGAAGGGCGAGGTATAAATCTTCTTCCTCTTCTGAAGAACAGGTCTACCTATATAGTGGAAAGGAATGAGTAGACCTGGCCTTAGACCGCTGCTCTGCACTGAGTCTTAAAATCTCCTGAGCTAAGGGCGGGCTAGAAATGGATGTTCTCTCTAGTGCAGCTTAGCAGGAACACTGCTTCCCACCAATGTTCCCTCTAAGCTATGGATTCTTGTGAGCAAATTTTTTTCTTTGTGAGCTACTGGCATTAAAGCTGTGAGCGAGCGATTTGGCTACTGCATCAATTAGTCTGCTCTGGAGCCATCCTTTCTGAGCTAAGACAAAAATGTGTGCGCTGGAGGCTAAAAAACTGTGAGCTAGCTCACACTAACTCAGCTTCCCACCCATCCCCAGATTCTCCCAGAGAAAGGAAGGAGAAGTAAGATTTCCTCCTCCTGTTCTGACACCCCCCACCGCCCAACTCCATGAGCCAGAAATGACCTGGAGTATATCCCGGGCCAAGGCTTATTCCCAAACCTCTGACTCCTCAGAGGTCCCCTTGAATTCCTCCTTGGAGGTTGTGTCTTTATGCAGCAGGCTGAGACATTTCATCTCACTACTTTAATTTGGAAAGGTATCTACATTAAGGTTGCAAGCAGGCCTGAGGTGGGGGCAGAAATCCTGCCTCTTTCCCAGCAGCTTAGAGTGTGGAAATGGGCATCTGAAGAGATAAATTACCTCCCACAATGCCTCTGTTAAAGGGAGAGGACACTTTTTTCCTCCAGATAGTTAGCAACCCCCGATTAAATATTTGTTTATGAATCAGGGGAAAAAATGAAGCTCAGCTAAGGAAGAATCGTAGCTCATTAAAGAGATTGTTATTTGTTATTTGTATCAGGTACGTAGGCTTTGTGTCTTCTGTGCTTTGAGGCTTTTGAATGAATCTGGGCTTCGTTAAATGTGTCAAAGGTTAGTGTGGCGTGCCTTTTTTTCAATTGTGCACGAAGTTCTAAATGAGAAAACCCTCTTGCAGACGCTTGAGACTCACACCTGGAGCCATGACTGATCCCCGTGAATGAACCTGACTGTCAAAACCCACAGCCAACAACGTAGTACGCGCTTATCAGGAAGGTAATACTTTATTGAAGAGCTATAGATGCACTAACATAGGCACTGTTAAGAATGACGGCTGCCCATGGGGCATAATAGGATATAGGGTATTCGTATGCCCCCCCCCCCCTGCCCTGGCCAATTGGCCCCACTCCTGCACGCGGGAGAAGGAGCTCCGGCCGTTAGCGCTGAAGCTGGGAACCAAGCTCGCTCCCACGGTTCCCTTGACGCTAGACATCAACATCCCACCACCTGCAGAACTTAAGAGATAAGCGTTACAGCAGCGAAGAAGCACAGACGGAATGCACTGGCAATTCGAATACAACTGACCTCCCCAACCCCCATGGCAGCATAGCTGACACTGACCAGGGTTCCCTGTAGGCCGCACTAGGGTGCATCAGCACACAGTTTCCCAGGCCTCGGACTCGACTGGTTTTCGAGGAAGGGAACCTTTACCTTTTTAAGCCGCCCTGAGCCTGCTTCGGCAGGGAGGGTTGGGGTAGAAATTAAATCAATGAAATAAAATTAATTGATACTACAGTTCTAATCCCTTTATAAAGATGCCCCCATGAACATTTTACACAGTTTGCAAAATAATAGAAGTATGAGGGGCTTCCTGACCACTCTCGGCAGCGCATTCCACAAGGTGGGAGCCGTCAAAGAGAACGGGCAGCTGCCAATCTTACCTATTCACAGGATGGCTATTTGGATAGGAAGGGGAAATGGTATCTTTCCTTGCTGGGAAACTCTCTGAGACCACCAAAGGTTCTCTGGAAAACATCCTGGTGACCAGCTGCCACCACTCAGGACCTAGTGAGAACATCTATCATGACCTGCAGAGAAGGGATTCTTCCAGCACAGGATTAGAGCAATAACAGGGTAGAAACCCTATAAAATACCATCCCAGTAGCACCTTTGCAATTTAGCACATGGGGAAGAGGGGAAGAGAAATATTCCACGGAAATAAATTGTACAAAGGGAAACAAAAAAACCCTCTTTATATAAAAAAAGTTTATTATAAAAGAGAAAAATAAGCAAAACGTGGTTGGATTCCAAAAGAGAGTGGAAAAAGATGAAGAAGAGATGGAAAGGCACACAGCAGCAACAACAGAGAGAGGCGCAAATGAAAAGCAGTACTGTCGAACTAGCTAAGCTCTACACACATCACTGTAGCAGGAGCCACAGAGCATACACAGAGGTCCTTGCAGTAACAAGAGGTTGAATGGGTTGTTGGCTGGTTTTCCACGCACAATGCAAATCTGAATTATTCA